AAATTGTACATTAAAATTGTCCCTAAATTATTTTTTATTTAAAATATTATTTACGGAATTATCAAGCCACCTAATGAATTGCCAAGCCACATCAGCAATTACACGGAACGGCTGCCCATGTAAGCGGAGAGGAATGGACGTTTATCACAAGTGATGAAAGTTTTGTGACGTCGTTAGGTGTGGGGGTAGTTAAATTGCATTCGTTGGGGCGGTTTAAGGGCTCATCTACTTAAAAAAGAGTTTAAGGGCATACATGAGAATATAGGGAAAGTTGAGGAGCTTAACAGTAGATTTTGTCTTAAAACTTGGTGTTGTTTATCTAAGCAACTTTTCTACGTTAAAATGTAACAATGAAATATATCTAAAACAAATAAAAAGACAACCACTTTTGTTGCATGCTTGCTGTCATTTGGCAGCCACCGTGTAGCCCTTCATTTTATTAATTTGCAATCGTATTACATTTGAATTTTATTTGCTGCTCATTGCAGCTTCATTTCAGTTACATTTACCCATAGTTTGCTTCACAGTTTTGTTGTCATTTGAGAGCTTCATTCATTACTACTATTTCATGACAGCTTCATTTCACCCTTTTTGCAAATTTGAATGCAACAATTCTAACAATAATTCCAACACGATGAATTATGTAGGGTGCATTTCCCAACCTAGAAAAAATTGCCATCGCTCACTTGCAGAACTTAACAACCATATGGCATGACAAAATTCATGCAAATTCCTTTTGCAAATTAAAGTCATTAGAAGTCATATGCTGTGAGAAGTTAATGACTATTTTGCCATCTAACAATATTCTGGCAAGTTTCTGGACATCACTGGAGGAGTTAAGAATATATAATTGTAATTCACTAGAGGCGATATTTAAACTTGGAGAAATCAACGCAAACCAAAGATCTGTTGTGATAGACACCCAGTTGAAATTGTTGGACATTAAGAGTTTGCCAAGATTGAAGCATGTGTGGAACAAGGATCCTGAAGGAATTCTCACTTTTCAAAACCTTGAGTCAGTGCGTGTTTTTTCTTGTCACAGTCTCAGTCATTTGTTTCCCGCCTCGGTAGGCAAGGCCCTTTCACAACTCCAAACACTGGATATATTGTTTAGTACTGGTTTGGAGGAAATCGTTGCAGTGGGAGGAGGATTAGAAGCCGCTGTTAAGTTTGAGTTTCCTCAAGTGTCCTACTTGCGCCTTCACCGCCTACCAAGACTTAAATATTTTTACCCAGGGAAACACAATACAGAGTGGCCAATGTTAAAGAAGTTCTACCATTATGATTGCGGCCAAATGAAGAAAGCAAATGGGGCGGGCCAACCAGACTTCCCTGTTCAACAACCACTTTTTTCCATGGAAGAGGTATGTCACTCTTATTACTTTCCATTGTGATGATAACAAGAGTAAAATATTAGATGCAGGAAATATATCATCCAGTGGCAACGACAACAAAAGGTCATAAAGAATCCGATTGCTTTTGGTTGGCGAAATAATATATTTTTTTTTCGACTTTCATACACTTGAAAGTACTCAATATGGAATTCTTTTTGTTGGATTGGAATCCTTTCCAAGTCATCCCTCAATGGAGCTTTTATATATAGGAAAAAAAAATTGTTTATCAATTGTAACTACAAAAAATTAGACAAAAAAATTTCCTAAAACTATATTGTTTTAATTAGTTCTTATTAAAAAAAATTAAAATATCCTAATTTTTAAGACTTTTAGCTTTTTATTGTTGTGTTTGATTGAAATGACATAATTTTGAGTTATTTTTTACTTAATTTTTTTTTATAAATCTGATTAGTAAACACCAATATCATATATATGTATATATTATATATAAGGAAGAATCTATTTATATATGTTTTATATACTATACTTATACAAAATCTTAATTATTAATTTCTCTAGTTTTAATGGTTAAGAGTTATCATAATTTTTCAAATAAAAAATAATTATTTTTTATTAATGTAAATAAAACTCAACCATTGAAAGTAGAGAGATAAATAATTGTGATTTTATATAAATAGATTCTTACTATATATATATATTATGGAATTACAATCTAATTGAAGAAAATTAACAAGGAGTTATTTTGATGATTAATTTTCTTTGTAGATTATACCTCAATTGGAGGAGTTGTCCTTAACGGAAGATGACATCTTAATGATATGTGGTGAAATCAAACTTAAGGAGAACCTCTTTTTCAATATCAAAGTTCTTCAGATCCAAGACCATCTTGATAAGTCAGCTGTTTTACCAATTTGCTTTCTCAATAGATTCTCCAATTTAGAGAAGCTTCTTTTGAGAAATTGTTATTTCACAGAGTTATTCCCTTCAAAAGGAGAGCATGTTGGTAACCAAGAGAAACAAGCTGAGACTAAGGTACTCTCAAGGATTAAAACACTAAGGCTGAATGACGTTCATAATCTGAAGCATATATTGAGCCAAGATATTTCAATTGTTCTTCAAAATCTTCAAACCCTTGAAGTATGGAGAGCCAATGGTTTGCCTTGTTTATTAACATCAAAAACAACATCTTTCCATAATCTTACCACTTTGGATGTGTGGCTATGTCATGGTTTTATGATAACATTGGTTTCAGTCCCAATGGTTCGAAGTCTGGTGCAACTGGAAGATATGACTATAAGGAAATGTGACAACCTTACTGAAATAGTTGGACATGAAGGAGCTAGAATAGAAGATTCAGTTATTAATTTCAACAAATTAAAAGTTTTGAAACTTTTATCTTTGCCAAGATTGGGAAGCTTCTGTTCGGAGAATTTCATATTCAACTTCCCATCTTTAGAAATGGTAATTGTGGATCAATGCCCCAAATTGAAGATCTTCAGTGAGGGAGACTTGAACACACCACTATTGCAGAGAGTAGAATTAATTGAAGGAGAGGATAAGTCATGTTGGGCAGGTGACTTAAATACCACCATACAAAGAATGCACACAGAAATGGTATGAATTGATTTATAAATATTTGAAGCTACATCTTGTTTTTGTTTTATTTTTTTATTTTATTTTTCAATTATTGTGTTAAATGTATCTAGCATGTTTTGTATTACACTTGGTAGGTTGGAATTGCTGGGTTAAAGAAATTGATACTGTCAGACTTTTCTGAATTGATTGAAATATGGCATGTTAGGAGGAGGCCCCAAGAAATTTTGGATTTCAGACTGCTTAAGTATCTACAGCTCTATAATTGTGCCCAGCTCTCATACTTGTTAACCCCTTCCATGGTATTTTGCCTTGTGCAACTCGAATTTATAAGCATAAAGAACTGTGCTATGATGGAGCAAGTGATAATGGGAGATGGAGAAGAAAGTAAGATGATATTCCCACAACTATGGAAGATTGAGCTAGAGTCTTGTTCAAATTTGATAAGTTTCTATGTGGGAAGTCATGGTCTTGAGATTCCAAGTTTACAAGCATTTTCTATAGAGGAATGCCAAAGGATGGTTACGTTCGCTGCTTTTACATCGTCTGGAGAGCATCAAAAAGAGACATTTCATCAATACTTTTTCAGCAGCAAGGTTAGTTTTCTTATTCTTTTAGGCTTTATTGCTAGTTTTACAATATTTCACTGCTTGTTTCTTACATTTCCATGAGTTTATGTCATTTTCCATAAGTTTATGGATATAAATGCATTTGATGCCTATCTGATGCACAGCGATAAGAAAGGCTATATATAGAATGCATTTACATTTATCCTTTTTTGGAAGAAAAAACATTTGCATTTTTTTGGCCCAAAAATACATTTACATTTATTCTGTGGATTATATATATTAAATTTTGTCCAATTAATTAAAATTTTCTATTATATCGAAGCAATTTCAAGGTAGCAGTAGCTACAGCATTAAGAGCAAAAAGGCCTGCATCAGAAGTTCCCTTTCCAAAAAAAAAAAAAAAAATTGGTGTAATTCATTAAAATATTTATAAAACTCATAACTGCATGAAAATGTCCATACTTCCAAGTCATCTGTATACTTTTCTTTAAAGATTAAAAGTTTAATGAAATTGGAGCTTATCTACAGGTTGAGATTCCTCTGCTGGGGGAGCTGACGTTGTCCTCAATTAAGATACAACAAATATGGGACTGTGAACTTCCATCAGTGTCTTCGTTTGCTCAAAATTTAAGAGAGCTTATTGTGACTGATTGTGTCAATTTGAGATATTTGTTCACATCCTCCATGGTTAAAGTTTTTACACGGCTTGAAAAGCTGGAGATTTATAGATGTGAGGTGATGGATGTGGTAATATTGATAGAAGGATTAGAGGAAGAAGAAGAAGAAAGGATGCGCCAGACAATGTTCCCCAAACTAGGGACGCTAGTGCTCACAAAGCTACCCCAGCTCATCAGATTTTGCTCCAACGGTAATTCTCAATTAAGAGAAAGATCTGAATCTCAAGGACTCAACCCTAGTGGATCACAACTAGTGCCAGTCATCCAATCAACTTCGGAGCGTACAGAAGCCACTAAGCTTGTATTTCCTCAAGTAAAATACTTGGAACTTCGCGACCTGCAGAAATTCAAGAGTTTCTTCTCTCAAATGCAAATCATAGAATGGCCATCATTGAAAAGAATGTATGTCTGCGAATGTGACGAAGTGCAGATATTTGCTTCAACATTTCCATGCATCAATACAGCACGCAGAAACAACCAACTTGAAAGTTGTACTCAACATCCCCTGTTTTGGATTAGCCAGGTACGTACATTACAATAATAAAAGTAAAAAATAAAAAAAGCATCCATGCTCATCATTCTGGCTTTTATAATGAAAAGAAAGAGAGTATGGGAAAAGTAAGAAATGACGAAAACTAAAATTTTTTCCTACTTTTCCTTGTCTGATAATCTTAGTTTTATTTTTATCTATTTCTTTTCCTTATCTGGTAATTTTATTTTATTTTGAAGATAAAGAAGCAAAGTTCATCAAGATTTATTAAAAATGAGCTTCACCTTGTCTTCTTTTGATCTTTTCTTGCTCTAGCTTTCCTATATATTCTCTCTAAAGCGGTTTGCTGTCATATTCTATATTAGAATAATGATATGATAGTTATGATTAATTTTTAAGATGAATTTATAGAAGCCATTGATCATGGGAGGACCCCCGCATAATCAATGGGTGAAAAAAAACCTTCGTCTTAAAATTTGATCCCAAGAATCATTATTTTGTATGTTGTCCAAATTGAACCTTGGTGGTCAGGAGAAAAAAAAAATTAGAAAGGAAACTACTAAGCTTTACGCTCTATTGTTGTGGTTTTTTGTTTTGGTTGTCAAGTTTTAAATGATTAGAATTAGCAATTAGAAACTAAAAAACTAAAATTTTCCACTTGTCATGTATAAATTTTTAAAATTAACACCTAAAACTAATATCTTAATAATAACTATACTAAATGGAGCATTGATGTTTGAAAATTTTTTAGTGAACTGGTTTAGTTGGATGAAATAGCTTCCATGGTCAAACCATATAAAAAAGTTAAAACTAAGAAATTTGCATGACAAAGTTATCAACGGTAAAACTTAAATTTTTTTAGGGGTTTATTTGGTATAATGATTTTGAAATAGTAATTAGTGGTTTTATCTCAATGATCAAGGATAAGTGTTTGATAAAACTTATTTATTTCAAAACTATTACAAATTAATGTTTGGTAAAAAAATTTTATTTAACAGTTTGGAACTAACGGAATAGTTGTTAGAGTTCAAACTATTAGTGGATTGTAATTTTTAAATTTTATTGATAAATTTATATATTTTAATTTTTAATTTTTAGCTAAGATTTTTAATTAATACTTATCTAATTAGTTTCAATTTTGTTTTTTGGTCTTTAATAACATTAAGTAATTATTATATTTTTATTTTAACAATAATTTATCATAAAAGAAATATTAACTTAATGAACAAAATATGTTAATTAGATGAAAAGATTAAAATTTTTTTTTACTTTATTAAAAAATAATATAAGTTTTTTCTTTGTTAAAAATAGAAATTAGTACGTGATTACACTATTATAATTTATTTTATTTATTTATTTATTTTCTTATTATTATTATTTTAAAATTAATAACTTTAATAATAAAAAATATAAAAAAATACATATAATTGCTTTTAAACATATTTTTGTTAGTCATTTAATGTTGAACAGCAATTGCTAAGTATAGTATAACCAAATAATTATATAATCAAATTCTTTATCTACTATATACAACTCACTTTTTGCTATTTGCTAATCCCCATCTACCATCCGTTACCACTACCTTTTATTTTTCAAATTTTAACTGCTATATCATATAGGCTGTAGAATAAGGAAGAAGCAAAAAATAGTTGTTTTCAAGGAGAGATGTGGGAATATCTAATCCTTAATCATCCTCTAATTTAGTAGAGCTTAATAAACTGATCAAATCAACCATAAGAGTTGTTCCAAAGCGTAGTGGTTTGAGGCTGTTTCGTCCTTTTTACAAGAAAAAAAGTCATAAAATAGTTTTGTCTCTTCGAAAGGTTTTATTTATTATTATTTTTTTTTTTTAATTCTAATAAAAGTCTTTTTGTTACATCTTAAACCCAGAAGGCCAAGTTTGAGGTATAACTTTTAAACTAACTCCAATTTAAGCAGTTTCATACATGTATCTCCAAGGAAAAAAAGTTTTAGGCCTTTCTAAAAAGCTTTTAAAAAAACAGTGCACATAAACCGAATTTTAGTTAGAACTTCTATAAGAAGCTTACTAATTTATAAGGAATTACTCTAAGAATATCTTGTTTATGGTTTTATAACTAGTTAGAAAAATTATATACATGTGTACGGATAATATAAGAATTTCATTTGAAATTAGGAAAATGATATGTGCACACCTGGGTCAACACCCGGGTGTGCACACTCCCCTTTAAAAAAAAAAAAATGCCCATCACTCACCCAGTTCAATTTTTTTTTTTATATGAGGGTGCACACCCGGGTGTTGGATCCCGGTGTGCACCAATCAGGATCCTTGAAATTAATAGCTGTAATAGTTTACAAATTCCTAGGAATAGAATTCAAGAAAACCTTAAGCAATAATAAAATTTTAGGTAAATACAAGTTTACCTTATAAGCTTGAAGAAGCTTATTCAACTCAACATCCTTAAGTAGCTCTAGGACTTCCAGGGCCACTAATATCTCCTAAGCTAACCTGAAATGGTTGGAAAAACAACCTTAAGCCATGAAGCCCTTTAAGTATAGTTTATAATTTAATAGCCATAACTAAATTTTTAATCAAATTATCAAAAACAAGGAATTGTCTTTAATAAACTTAAAAATCAGAATTTAAACCATCTAAATCGTCACCGAATTAGTTTGGTCTAGGCATAAGCTTACTAATTTCACATGACAGATAATTCATAAATTCCATCAAACTGTTCCATCTATTAGGATAATTAAATAAGTTTTTGTTTTTTTTTAAATAATAAAATTTTAAGACATTTAAACTAGCAAGGTAACTTTATGCATGTTTAAATATTCAAATGGATATATTTTTATCTATGGATTTTTCCCTTGGGTGTACTTCCCACCTTACCAATAGACTAGACAGGGTTCTTCCTAATGTGCAGAGGTCTAATAATTCAAATCAGCTCCAATTAACTGTAAGAGCATTCCCTGGCTATTAGCATAGGTCTTATAACTCATTGTATCCCCAGTTTACTTTTGGAGCAGCCCCAGTTAACATTAGGGATTCTTACCTAACTGGACAGCTTAGGTATCTTTTAGAAATCTTTCTTTACTCCGAGTCCTTTAGAAGTTTTTACCTACCTTAGCTCCTTAATTAGGTATCATATCGTAAATTCTATGCATATAATAAATCTCTCATTCTTAGCTAATATAACTATTATATAAGCGAGATAGCCAAGCTCAAGTCCTGTATTTAACATAAGCATCACATATGACCAGAACAAGGTGTATCTCATTAAAAATGGCATTGGCATGTTAAATACAATAATCATAGCATTGCAACTATTAGTAAATAAAGAATTCTTCCTGCGTGCTTCATTTGAACACATAAGATACATAGTTCACTCTTGCATGTCATTAAGTCTATTAACATGCTACAAATCTATTCTATCACATCTTTCGTCTCAATATTTTTGATAAAAATATAGTTGTGTTAATAATTGGATTAATTACAATGCAAATTATATCTTGCCATACATACATGTATATATAGATATGCTATGCAGGAATTATAAAGCAAGTTAGGAAGACCTATGAAACTAACATAAAGGGCTAATGCTCATGACGAGTAGGATAATTAAGTACTAAGAACCTCTAAATATTAGCAAACATCATGGGCATCAATAGAGTTATGTAAAGACATGGAAAGATTACCCTAAAGCTTTGTGTACACTGCTGATAGTCACACCTATTTTACCAAACCCAACTTCCTTCTCCCTTTCTTCCCCTTTTTCTTACTCAGAGATCAGACCAAATTCCTACCAACTCTTCTCCATGTCTTCCACAGAACATGAACCTTCCCATTTGTTCTTTTGGCTAGAAGACAAAGAGGAATATCCCCAAGAATAGACTCCGACTCATACTGTTGTGAGGAGTCACTAGCCAACTCTATTTTTTTTTTTTTGAAAGGCAAAGATTTTTTTTTATTTTATTTTATTTTAGTGAGTACAAGGGGTACTCAATCCCTTATACATTAATCAGCACCGATTGAAATGAAAGTACAACATTAGGAGGTTCATTACAAAATCTTGCAGCATCTGGGATTGAGAATCCAATCAGAGAAACAGAATCGTCCTTCCTTTCCTTTGTTTTTGACCCAAAGGAAGGCTTGAACCTGAATTTTATCAAAGGTCTTTGTCGAATCAAATGATCCACCTCTAAAGATTAAGTTGTTCATGGTAGTCCAGATGGCCCAAACAAGAGAAAACCAAACCGTGACCCAACCCAGCCGTTCATTGCTTTTAGCGACTAAGGATTCATGTTGGATGAAAGGATCCCAACATGAACCAGCAATGGTTGTAGAGAAGCCCCACCATTGGTAACACATTGCCCAGATTTTTGCAGTAGCCGGACAGTGGAGAAAAAGATGGTTGATGTCTTCCATATTCTGTCCACAAAGACTACATTTTGTGGCCTCCATCTCCTTAATTAATCCCCTTTTCAACAAGTTAATTTTTGAAGGAATCCTATCAAGTAATAACAACCAAGTGAACCCACAGACTTTACTTGGAATCATGGGATTCCAAATCTTCTCAAAAATTTGTCGGTAAGGTGAGGGTTGATGTTGGATCAAAGTAGTATATCTTGAGCTAGCTGAGTAGTCTCCCAATTTATGTGGTTCCCAGGTCCAAGTGTCTTCCTTCCCTTTGGTCAAGTTGATTTCCTTGAGTAGTCCTTTGAGTTCTTGCACGGATTCTTGTTCCCAAGAATGCAGGGCACGTCTCCAAGGAAGGTTCCAAACCCATTTGTTGCCTTCCCATCTACCCATCTCATCAACTGTGCTGTCTTTCCCTGTAGAGAGCAAATATAGTCTTGGAAAGACATTAGCAAGCACTTCAGCACTATTCCATGGATCCTTCCAAAAACTAATATTCTGTCCATTACCAATTCTAATTTGGAAGCCCTTTAA